CAGAAGCTGCCGGCACCAAGTGCTACGGCATCGCCAAGGCTGGCGAAAACGACTGCGCCAACGCTGCCGGCACCCATTCCTGCGCCGGCCAGTCCACCGTCGACTATCATGGCGGCGACTGGAAGGCCACGGCATCGGCCGAAGCCTGCATGGAAATGGGCGGCCAGACCGAGCCCTTCGACGGCGTCAACGCCGAGAAGGCCAGCTAAGACGTCTCAAGTCACGACGTCCGTTTTTCCGACTGAGTACTCTTGGGGAGGGACGAAACCATGACCGCTTTCACGCCGGTTGGCTGGACGGATCACGGTGACTCCCCCGTCGCGGACCCGATCCCCGTTGCGCCGATCCCTGCGGCGGCGGGGATCGGGCTGCGCCACCCACATCTGCCGGATTTCCTGAGCGGCCGCCCAGCGGTCGCCTGGCTGGAAGTCCATTCCGAGAATTTTCTTGCCGAGGGCGGACCGCGCCGGCGGGCGCTGGAGAAGATCCGCCGCGACTACCCCGTGTCCTGCCACGGCGTGGGTCTTTCGCTCGGATCCGCCGAAGGCTTGAGCGAGGAGCATTTGACTCGCCTGGCGGCCCTGTTCGACGACGTTCAGCCGGGCCTGGTTTCGGAGCACGTCGCCTGGTCGGTCGATGAGGGGACCTACCTGAACGACCTGTTGCCGCTCCCCTACACGGAAGAGGCGCTGGCGATCCTCTGCCGGAACATCGACCAAGCGCAGGAGGCCTTCGGCCGGCGTATCCTGGTCGAAAATCCCTCCAGCTATCTGCAGTTCGACGCCTCCCGGATGGGCGAGGCGGAGTTTCTGGCCGAAACGGTGCGACGCAGCGGCTGCGGCCTGCTGCTCGACGTCAACAACATCGTGGTGAGCGCCGAAAACCACGACTTCGACCCCCTCACCTATCTGCAGGCCTTACCGCACGAGGCGGTCGGCGAGATCCATGTCGCGGGTCATGCGGAAGTCGAGTTGGAAGGTCATAGGCTGCTGATCGACGATCACGGCAGCCGGGTGCCCGCCGCAGTCTGGAGTCTTCTGGAAACGGCGCTCGCGCACACGGGCCCGGTGCCGGTTCTGGTCGAGTGGGATACCGCAATCCCCGAGCTCTCCGTGCTGCTGGACGAGGCCGGCACGGCGCAGCAAGCCCTCGAGCGCCTGACGATCGAGCGCGCACGTCATGCTGGCTGAGATGCAAAGCGCTTTCCGTCGCGCCGTTCTGGAGGGCGACGAGGCAGCGGCCCTCAGCGGCATTGCAGAGGGCGGCCTGCCGCCCCGCCTGCGGCTCTCGGTCTACCGCAACAACGCCCTGGGCTCGCTGGCCGGCGTACTTGCCGCGGCCTACCCAGCCTTGGAGCGCCTGCTGAGCGCCGAGAATTTCCGCCTGCTGGCGCGCGCCTTCGTCGCCGCGCAGCCGCCGCGCAGACCGCACCTCTCCAGCTACGGCGCAGAGCTGCCGGCCTTCCTGACGAGGTTTCCGCCCACCGCCGGCTACCCCTTCCTGCCCGACCTTGCGCGGCTGGAGTGGGCCCGCAACGAGGCGCTTTTCGCGGCCGACGCGCCGATCCTGACCGGGCGCAGCCTGGAAGGGCTGCAACCGCAGCAGTTGAGCGGCCTGCGGCTGCCCTGGCACCCGGCGACCCGTCTCATCGAAAGCGACTACGCGATCCAGCGTCTCTGGGAGGCCGAGGCCCTGGGCCGCGGTGTCGCGGCAGGCGCTCAGTCGGTTCTGGTGACGCGCAGCGCCGAGGGCGCGATCCTGCAGCGCCAGGTCAGTCCAGGCGACACGGCGCTGCTGCGGGCCTTCGCCGGAGGCGGAGACCTGACGGAGGCGGCGGAGGCAGCCTTCGCCGCCGAACCCGATTTCGACCTTCAGGCCGCACTGGCCGAGCATCTCACCCAAGCAACCTTTACACGGCCCAACGAGCCCGCTTGACCGACAAGCGCGCCAAAAGCGAGGTATTGGCGATGTCCCTCTCATCCACCAGCGAATCCGGCGGCGCGACGACGCTGCTAGCAGGCCTCTATGCGCGCTTCCAGCCGCTGCGCGAGCTTCTGGACGGCTACGGTCAGCCCGTCGTCTCCCTGGTCGCACGGCTTTGGATGGCCAAGATCTTCTTCGATGCCGGCTGGAGCCGGGTGAACAACTGGGGCAGCCAGGAGTTCCTCTTCGGCTTCATCCACCCCGTCCCCTTCCTGCCGCCGGCACTGGCGGCGCCGATCACCACCGTCGGCGAGCTGACATTGGCCATCCTGCTGGCCTTCGGCCTGCTGGGCCGTATCTCCGCGGCCGGTCTGCTGGTCATGACCATGACGATCCAGTGGATCGTCGGCATGACGCCCGAGGGGATCGAGAACGGGATCGCGCATCCCTCCCACTATCTCTGGATGCTGATCTTCGGCCTGCTGATCGTCTACGGCCCGGGCAAGCTGAGCCTCGACCATCTACTGGGCAAGCGCAGCTAACCCATCCCCTGACGTCAAAGCGGCCAAAGACAAAGCGGCGCCTCTATCCGGAGGCGCCGCTTCATTTGTTTCGGTCGGCTTTGCCTGAGCGACGCCCGCGCCGCTCGTCACGTTACGCGTGCTCGCGTACGAAGGCTCCGATGGCCGGCTTGATCTTCTCGCGCCAACGGCGGCCGTTGAAGATGCCGTAGTGGCCGACGCCCGGCTGCAGGAAGTTTTCGTGCTTGGACTGGTCGAGACCGCTGCACATGGCATGGGCGGCAATGGTCTGACCGGGCGCCGAGATGTCGTCCAGCTCGCCCTCTACGGTCATCAGCGCCGTCTTGGAAATCGCGCCGGGGTCGATCGTCTCGCCGCGCCAAGTCAGCGTGCCCTCCGGCAGGCTGTGGCGCTTGAAGACATGATCGACGGTTTCGAGGTAGTAGCGCGCCGGCACGTCCATGACCGCCAGATACTCGTCGTAGAAGCGGCGGTGGGACTCGACGGAGTCGCCGTCGCCCTGCACCAGATGGCGGAACATCTTCACGTGCGATTCGAAGTGGCGCGAGGGATTCATCGAGAGGAAACCGCCGAGCTGCAGGAACCCCGGATAGACCGCCCTGCCGCCGCCGGGATAGTAGGCCGGCACATCGTCGATCAGACTGCGTTCGAACCAGGCCATGGGCCGCGACTCGGCGAAGCGCGTGACGGCGGTCGGCGCGGCGCGGGTATCCACCGGCCCGCCCATTAGGATCATGGTCTTCGGCTGGGCCGGATCATCGGCCTGAGCCAGGAGCGAAATCGCAGCCAGCACCAGCGGTGCCGGCTGACAGACCGCCATGACGTTGAGCTCCGGCGCCAGCCGCTTCATGAAGTCGATCAGCGTGTCGAGATAGTCTTCGAGCCCGAAAGTCCCGGCCGCGGCGGGCACGAAACGGGCGTCGATCCAGTCGGTGACGTAGACCTCATGATCGGGCACCAATGCCTCGACCGTGCCGCGCAGCAGCGTCGCATGGTGGCCGCTCATCGGCGCCACCAGAAGGATCTTGGGATCGTTGCGCTTCGTACCGACCCGCTTGAAGTGGATCAGATCGCAGAAGGCCGTGCCGCCGACCCGCTCCGGCTTCAGCGGAACCTCGCGACCGGCGATCTTGGTGTGCGTCAGCTCCCAGTCCGGCTTTCCGCGGTGACGGGTGGCGGACTCGATGACCTCCAGCCCTGCCACGACGCTCCGTCCCAAATGGGTATAGGTCATGGGAACCAAGGGGTGGGTCAGAAGCTCGCGCGCCGTTTCGGACATCATCCGAAAGGGAGTCATCGCGATATGCTGGAACTCGTAGAGCGAATAGAGCATTCAGGATCCCCGCATCTGTTGCACCCGCGATCGGCTGTTCTCCGGGCTTTTTCTTGTGCCTCTTCGCACATTTCTGTTCGCCCGAAAGAACCCCGCACCCTACCGACGCTGACAAGCATGATGCATTGAGATGAAGAAATAGCAACCGCGCTCCAAAACCAATGAGTCCTTGCATAACGACTATGCAACAACGCTATAGGCACACGATCATTTTCACAAATCTTTGAAATCCCGGCCGTAAAGACCGAACGAAAGCTGCCGGCCGTGCAAAACGACTCCGAATCGCGCAGACAGCTCAGGCCGGCGGCAAAACTTCACAATAAAATGATGTGGTGAAGCGAAGCCGCTTCGATCCAGCACGACCCCGCTCTAGCCCAGTCTGCAGCGAAAGAGTGCGCCGAGTCGCGGCGGGGCGGCCGCCACCCCCGAGAGACGCAAGGCATGCCAGGCCAAGGCATGGTTCGAAGAGGTGACGGGCTTGCCGACCGCCGCTTCGATCTCGGCAACCGACTCGACCAGACGGACCGAGGTACAGGACACGAAAAGCCCGTCGACATCCGGCTCCGCGACCAGCCGCTCGGCCGCCGCACGAATCGAGGCGCTATCGATCCGGGCCACGGTCGGATCGTCGCCCTCGTTGAAAGACCCCATCACCGGCACCTGAATGCCCCGGGACTGAAAGAAGCCGCGCAGCATTCGGTTGACGGACGGCAGATAGGGCGTCAGCAGCGCGATTCGCCGTAGGCTCAGCGCCTGAAAAGCGGCTAGAGCCGCCAGGGCCGGATTCGTCGCGGTCTTCGGTCCGCGCGCCTCCAGCAGCAGGTCGCGCACTCGCTCCGGTCCGATCACCATCGACGCCGAGGTGCAGCCGTAGGCCAGGCAATCGAGTGCGGCCCCCGGCAAGATCACCTTGGCGCAATCGGGAATGCGGGCCTCCATGGCCTTTAGGGTCTCCGGCGTGATCGCGGCATCGTTCCAGATACGGCTTTGGAACAGCGCGACGTCGGGCAGGCACGCCAGCACCTGGCGAAACTCCTGCTCGACCGTACCGTCCGTGGACAAGACGATCAGGCCGATCCGCGCGGCTGCGCCGACGCCTTCGTCGAGGGTGAAGGGCAAGTGCTCGAGATCGACCCTCGGAGCCTCGTCGGCGGCCGGTTCGCGCGGGTGCGAGGTAACGGAGTCTGTCATGAAGCTCATCCTCACTGCAGCAGCAGACCGTCGAGCGGTATCGCGGGCTTGCGGCCGGCGATCAGGTCGGCGGTGAGTCCCGCCGTCCCGCAAGCCATCGTCCAGCCCATGTGTCCATGGCCGGTGTTGAAATAGAGATTCGCGTGGCGGCCGCGCCCCAAGAGGGGCGTCCCCTCCGGCGTCATGGGCCTGAGGCCCGCCCAGTAGCTCGGCTGCCGATAGTCGCCGCCCTGCGGAAAGAGATCGCGCGCCACGGCCAGCATCCGCGAGAAGTCGGCGGGCCTGTGACCGGTTCCGTAGCCGGCGAACTCCGCCGTGGCGGTGATCCGCAACCGTTCCCCGAAGCGCGCGTAGGCCACCAGGTTGTCCTCGTCCACCCCGCCCAGACTGGGCGCGCGGTTGCGGCCGGCGACCGGCAGGGTGACCGAGTACCCCTTGACCGGGTAGATCGGAAGGCGCGCACCAAGCTGGCGGGCGATCTGCGGACTGTAGACGCCAAGGGCCAGCACGAAGGCGTCGGCGGCGACCTCGCCCTTGTCGGTCACCACCGCCTGAACCGCGCCACCGTCCAGGCGAAACCCCTGGACCGTTTCGCCGAAGCGGAAGACCGCGCCGCCGGCCTCGCAGGCCTTGGCCAGCCCCAGGGTAAAGAGGCGAGCATCCCCGGACTCGTCGCCCGGCGCGAAGATCGCGCCCGCCAGACTGTCCCGGAGCGGCGCCAATGCCGGTTCGAGCGCCACGGTCCGGCCAGCCGTGAGGCTTTCGAGGGCGATGCCCTGATCGGTCAGGAGTCGCATCCTTTCCAAGGCGCCCGTGAAGGACTCCGGGCGCCGGTAGAGGTAGAGCAAGCCGCCGTTCCGGGCATCGTAGGTCACGCCGCTGGCCGCGACGACCTCGTGCAGCAGCGACTGGGAATAGAGGCAGAGCCGGGCCTTCCGCGCGGTATTGAGCGCCGCGCGCTCGGCCGTGCACTGCCGGAGGAACTTCCAGGTCCAGCGCCAGAGCGCCGGATCCAGGTTCGGCCGGAAGCGCAGCGCCTGATCGCCGCGCCAGAGCGAGCGCAGCAGCATGCGAGGCGCCCCGGGCGAAGACCAGGCGTAGGCGTGACCCGGGGCCACGAGCCCGGCGTTGGCGAAGGACGTGAAGGCCGCAGGTTCCTCGGCTCGGTCGATCACCGTGACCGCATGGCCGTCGCGCTGCAAGCTCCAGGCGGTCGCGACGCCAACCACTCCGCTGCCGAGCACCACGATATGCATGCCGCACGTCCCGCAATGGGGGACCCAGGCCCGATCACCCGCTGGGCCCCTAGGCCGGATCAGAGGGAAAGTCTGGCGCAACCGCCGTTCGCTGCCAAGTTTTCCGCCCCCGGACACAGCGGAGGGTCGAACTGCATCGCTGCCGCGATGTCGAGCCGGCTCTCGGCGCGTTGCCCGATTTTCGACAGAGTTTCAGGGCGTCATAGCGCTCGGATGCTCGGCGTCCTAGCGGGTCTATGATGCGAGATTACAACAAGTTAATCCGCCGGACAGGCCGCCGTAAGCCTTTCGTCCTATATTGATCCTCAACCCGTTCCAGACTGGAGACAGGCCGCATAATGTCAGCACGTCACTTGGTCAGCAGTCTCGCCAGAGGCACTCTGCCCGTAGCGCTCGCGGGCGTCTTGTTCGCGGCGGCGACAGCCGCGCAGGCCAGACCGGCGCCTGAGAGCTTCGCGCCGCTGGTCAAGGAAGTCAGCCCCGCCGTGGTGTTCGTCGCGACCGAGCGTCAAGGCCGTGCGGAAGCACCGCGCCTGCCCTTCCCCGAGGGCTCGCCCTTCGAGGAGTTCTTCGAACGCTTCGGCGTTCCCAATATGCCGGAAGGCCAGCAACCGCGACCGCAGCGCGGCGTCGGCTCCGGCTTCATTATCGACGATGACGGCTTCATCGTGACGAACCATCACGTGGTCGAGGGCGCGGACGAGATCGAGATCACGCTCGACGACGGCCGGACCTACCCGGCGGAGCTGGTCGGCACGGACCCGCAAACGGACCTGGCCGTTCTCAAAATCGAACCGCAAGACAATTTGCCGGTTCTGGACTTCGGCGATTCCGATGCCGTGGAAGTCGGCGACTGGGTCATGGCCGTCGGCAACCCCTTCGGTCTCGGCGGCTCGGTGACCGCCGGCATCATCTCGGCCCGCAGCCGCAACATCAACGCCGGTCCCTACGACGACTTCATCCAGACGGACGCGGCGATCAACCGCGGCAATTCCGGCGGTCCGATGTTCAACCTCGACGGCGAGGTGATCGGTATCAACACCGCCATCTTCTCGCCCTCCGGCGGATCGATCGGAATCGGCTTCGCCATTCCCTCCAACCTTGCGCAGCCGATCATCGCTCAGCTCAAGGACCGGGGCACGGTGGAGCGCGGCTGGCTGGGCGTGATGGTCCAGCAGGTCACGCCGGAACTCGCCGAAGCGGTCGGCCTGGACAGCCCCCGTGGCGCGCTGGTCGCCAACGTCGTGCCGCGCGGTCCGGCGGATGCCGCCGGCCTGGAGCAAGGCGACGTGATCACCAGCTTCGCCGGCAATGCGATCCAGGAGATGCGGGATCTGCCCCGAATCGTCGCCGGGACCGAGATCGGCCAGGGCGTGGAGGTTCAGGTCTGGCGCAACGGCGAGGAAGAACGCTTCGAGGTCGAGATCGGCCGGCTGGAGCCGCAGCAGGCCGCCCTCGAGGCGGAACCGGAGGCCGCACCCGGAGCCTCCGCTTCGGAAAGTCTGGGTGCCGATCTGGTCGCGCTCGATGCGGAAACACGGCAGCGCTTCAACCTGCCGGGCGATACCGACGGCGTGGTCATCGTCGAAGTACGCGGCGACGGACCGGCAGCCGAAGCCGGACTGCGCCCCGGCGACGTCATCCGCCGTGTGGACGGCGAACGGATCGAAACCCCGGGGCAGGTTTCCGACGCCCTGTCGGAGGCCGCATCGGGTCAACGATCCGCACTGATTCTCGTTGAACGCGACGGCAATCCCCTCTTCGTGGGGGTCAAGCCGCGCGCTTGACGAGCCCTGCCGGATGTCCTTCGGACAGACCGGTCGCTCACGACGCTGAACCTCGCCGGCAGGCGCCACCCGAGAGGGATCGAGGCCCTGCCGGCTTTTTCTTGCCCGCGAGGCGGCGTCGGGGCGCGGAAAGACTATCGGGCACGAGAAGGCACTGGCCGGCAGGAGACTGACAGCGATGTCCCGCATCGACTTGAATGCAGGGTGACCAGGGGGCAGAGTCCATGCAAGACGATCATCGAACACGCGATGTTAACCAGACACCGGGCTTTAATCAGACAGCCGATCTCGATCGGACGGCGGCAGACCAGGGGCTGCAACTTCACGGCGAGACCGGACACAAGGTGACGATGCGCATCTTGATCATCGAAGACGACGACGAGACCGCCGACTACATGCGCAAGGGCTTGGGCGAGTCGGGACACGTGGTCGACCGCTCCGACAACGGGCGCGACGGTCTCTATATGGCTTCGAGCGGTGAGTACGACGTCGTCGTGCTCGATCGCATGCTGCCCGGTCTCGACGGGCTAAAGGTGCTGGAGGCCCTGCGCGCGGCAAGCATTCAGACACCCGTGCTGATCCTAAGCGCCCTGGGCCAGGTCGACGACAGAGTGGGGGGTCTGCGGGCCGGTGCCGACGACTACCTGACGAAGCCCTTCGCCTTTTCCGAACTGCTCGCGCGCCTGGAGTCCATGACCCGTCGTCAGGCGGCCGCCACGCCCGAGACCACGCTGACGGTCGGCGACCTGACGCTCGACCGACTCAGCCGCAAGGTCGTGCGTGCCGGCCAGTCCATCGACCTGCAGCCGCGCGAGTTTCAGCTGCTCGAATTCCTGATGCGCCATACCGGGCAGGTGGTGACCCGAACGATGCTGCTGGAGGGCGTCTGGGACTACCACTTCGACCCTCAGACCAACGTG